CACCATCTCAGTGTAACTTTGACTTTGGGCAAATAAATTAGTCTCTCTGTGTCTTAACTCCCTTGTGAGTGAAATAAAGGGTTTGGACCTGCCAGAGTCCATTGAGTCCTAAAATTCAGTGATGCTATGAAACCAAAGCCAACGTCCTCTCCTGATGGTCCCTGAGTACTTGGGTATTTTCCTCACTCCTGATCCTCAACAAAACTGCCCAAAGCCTGGGGCAGCTGGTAGGACCTTCCAAAAAGGAACCGTCATTTTTACAGAGTCATGAAATGTCAGAGTTGGCAAGGACCCAGAGTTCATCTGTTCCATGCCTTATCTGATGTCAGAGTATCTGTCATAGATTCCTGGGCTGTTTAACTATATCAATGCAATGGTCCCCATCTCCATAAACAGCTTAGTGCATTTTCCAGAACACTCTGACTCTCAGAAGTATTACCGCTTTGCAGCCATTTATTTTACTGAGCACCTACGCCAGGTACAGGGCTAAGCCTGTGAACACAAAAACAACTGTCTTCATCCCTACCCTGGTCATGTCCACAATCTCCTTTGTTAACACGCACAATTGCATTATTTGACCTCCCAGATGTTTATATATATATATCTAAGCATTACAGTCAAAGCTCTGTCATCTCAGAAATACAGCCAAGCTTCTGAAATCTTCCTCTTACACGATTTCAATTTAACGATCAGAACTTCAAATACAATAGAAGCACACTTCAAAGGGGTTTGATAAAATTGCAAACTTAGAATTTCTCTGAGGCCTTGAACTACACAGAACAAACCAAACTCCATGGGTACGATACTTTCTGCCAAACTTTACACAAGAAGAAGGCAAGAATCTTATGAATCCATGAAAAATGAATGGTGTTTTAATGCTGCGGTTTGCTTAGAAATGTAAGAAGACAATGAGTTAATCAAAAAGTGCTCATTAAGGCCATGTTGTCTCAGGTCAGGTTAATACACTCAGGTCCCCTCCCCCTGGAACACAGAACTAAGAGTGTACAGCATTTGCCTGGTGGCACCACTGTGCAGAAGGTCAAATTTGTGGGGCTTGCAGTCCCTACTCTCTGTTCCTCGATTGCAGCCCAAGAGGAGACCAAGCAGCCCCTTGGAATTTGAAGTAATGAAATTTGAGCTGTGTGTTTGATTTGAAGGAGACAGAACCAGCAGACAATAAGGAAGGGTGGCTGATTACAGGAGAAGCAACAGGGAGACAAGCAAGAGAAAGGAAGGCAGGAAAAATGAAGTGGGAAAGGAAGAGGGGTAAGAAAGGAAAAGAACGGCGGCTCCTTATGGTGTTAGGAGCAGGACCCCCTGAGAATCTAATGAAAACTACAGACCAGAAAAATATATATATATACACGTAATTTTTGCATGCAATTTCAGAGGGTCCATGAATCCTATTAATTCTAAGGCTTTCATCCTTAGCACCTATTTGTCTCCGATGAGAATTTCTTCTCTAGAGCCTCATCAGATGTTTAAAAACTAGGGGAAAAGATCAGCTTGTTGTAATCAAGAAGCAGATGCAAACGCCCCAGTGGCTAACTAACTTATCACACGGCCGCCTTTCAACTTAATGACCATTTATTGAGGCTTACTATATGCTGCATGGTATATGAGCTTCTCTGGATGTTCCAAGAACCATGTTATAAAAAACCAGGGATTTTTTTTTTAAGGCTTCTTCCTGCCAGCAAGGTCAAGCCAGCCCCTGCCAGCAAAAGTCAGCCCCTAGGGAGTATAAATTGGCACAACCACTTTGCAGAGTTATTTGGCAATGCCTCGTGAAGCCGAGGATGCACAGAGTACACAACTCAGCAGTTCCACTCCCAGGTAGATGCCCTAGAGAAATCCACCGGCAAGAGTGAGGGGACAGCTTGGTTCAAAATAGCCCAAAGCTGGAAACAACCCAAACAGATAAATACATGGTAGCATATTCATACTGCAGAATACTATGCAGCAGGGAAAATGGATGAATGAGACCTAGTCTTGTCAATCACAAGGTGAGGGCACAAGGAAGGCTGTAGAAGGAAATGTTTACAGAGAAACTTAAAACTGTGCAAGAACGCACTATATATATTTCTTATATACTTTTGTGGTCAAAATGTAAAATAGGTACTACGTATTTCTCATACCCTTATTTACCCTATATAAAAGGGTAAATGCATAACTGGAAATGATAAACACAAAACTCAGGAAGTGTTTCTGCATAGGGAAGGGAATGAACAAGGCCAGGGAAGAGAACACAGGGGACTTACACTGTATGAGAAAGGTTTCATTTGGGGGTGCCTGGGTGGCTCAGTTGGTTGAGCGTCCAACCCTTGGTTTTGGCTCAGGTCATGATCTCAGGATCGTAGGATAGAGCCCTGTGTCAGGCTCCACACTCAGCATGGAATCTGCTTGAGTTTCTCTCTCCTTCTCCCTCTGCCCCTCCACCACCCCACCAACTCTCTCTCTCTCTCTCCCACCCTCTCTGTCTCTCAAATAAATAAATCTTAAAAAAAAAAGAAAAAGAAAAAGAATTTTGATGGTAGGCTGTTGTTCTATCACCTCCCTGTCCTCACCTCCTCCACTCTCTCCCTCACTTACTCTGTTCCCGCCACTCTGGCCTCCTCACTGCTCATCAAACATACCAGACACAGCCCAGCCTCAGGACCTTTGCATGTGCTATTCCCTCTGCCTGTCACTTTCCTCCTTTAGCTATCCTCAAGGCTCATTCACTCACCTCCTTCAGGTTTTCATTCAAATACTGCCTTCCCAATAAAGTCTTCCCCGGTTTCCAGCCCTCCTGCTCATAACACATCCCATCCTTCCTCTGATTGAATGTTTCTCTGTAGCCCTCACTGCCACCTAACACACTAGATATTTATTCATTCACTCATTCATTCATTTAGCTTTTCTTCACTACGTGACTATCTGTTGCACAAAAGGAGGGACTTCTTTCTGTTTTGTTCACTGCTGTGTCCCAGAGCCTGGTATATAATAGGTGCACAAAAAATATTCATTGAGTGAATATTTGCATACACAAATATTTGTTACATTATTCTCTATTTTTTGAATGTCTGAATATTTTGTTATGCACTTTTTAAAAAAAGATTTATTTATTTTTTAAAGAGAGAGAGAGGAAGCACGAGTGTAGTGGGGAGGGGCAGAGGGAGAGGGACAGAGAGAGAATCTCAAGCAGACTCCCCACTGAGTGCGAGCCTGATCCCATGACCCTGAGATCAGGACCCAAGCCAAAATCAAGAGTCAGATGTTTAATGGCCTGAGGCACCCGGGCGCCCCTTTGTTATGCACTTTTAACAACAACAACAACAACAAAGTCAGCTATTAGGATGTTTCAGAGACAAGTTTCCTACTAAGGTAAGAAAAAGGTGCCCAACACCACAACATGTCCTTGGAACCTGCCAAGGTCCCAAGCCACAGGACTATGGGAACAACCAACAGAGGACCCTCAGGGAGCACTCAAGCCCACTAGAGCTAGCCCAGGGTACCCACAACAGACCATTCACATCTGAATGCCTCTACCAAAACAGCCCAATATGACAAAGCCCTTTTGGGAAAAGCAACATTGCTCTGAAACAACAAATGTGCTCAAAACCTGAATTGCAGGAGCCCAGCCAACACAGCATGGAGCCTAAGACCCATGACATCTGCCAGAAGAGACAGGATCTGGAACAGCAACAGAGCCTGGAGGAGAAATTTGATCCTAGAAGAGAATTACGACCCCCTAGAGGACAGCTGTGACCCCATAGAGGGGAGCTGTGCCCCACTGAGGACAACTGTGACCCCACAGAGGGGAACTATGAGGAATGAATAGGGGTCTTGGAAGACAAGCCAGTCTTAGCTTTGAGGAGAGGAGTGGGTGGACAGAGGAGCCAGAAATCAGCACAAAATGGTAATGTCTATGCTGGCATCTGTTACAGGACTTTGGGGTCCCTAACAGAGCCTGACTGGCTACTCAGCAAATCCACCTTCCTTTCTTCTAAGCACAGTCTAATGTTTCTCAGCTTCCCCTGCAGTGATGTGTGTCATGTGAATAAATTCTAGCCGAAAGAATAGGAAGGGACGAGGCACGTGCCAGGCCTGTAAAACCTCCCTAGGATCACTTTGCATCCTCATTTCTCTTTTGTGGTTTGATGCATACAAGCACAAAGTTCTTGGAAGCTGTGAGTCAACAATGAGGAGCCACAGTGTGGTAAGGGCCTGGGTTCCCTCAATCACTGCTTGGAGGAGAGAGCCCTGCCAGCAAGGAACAACTGTTTTGGACTTTCAGTGAGTGATAAATAAATTTCTGTTGTGTGTAAGACAAACAGTTTTTTCTATTGTCATAACAGCTAGCATTACCTTATAGAGAGGGTCCTTGGTGGAAAGTGTATACACACTCACCTTTCAACTATGGTGCGCTATATACAGATCCAAAAACTCTTCTAAGGCACTCACTGTACCTTATCTAGCTTGGTTTTCTCCATAGCCCTACCACAAGCTGTTGCACCCAGAAGTCCTCAACAAACATTTACCAGCTGGAAATCAAGATCAACTTGGAATAAAGGCGTCTCCAAATGAGGCAAAAGGATCACACATGCACAACAGTTAAAACCTTGAGTTCTGGAATCACATGATATTAGGTTCAAATTCCAGTTCCACTAGCAGGGTGATCCTAGGCAAGTTCATATCTGTGCTTCGGATCTCTCTGTGGTCCTGTGGGAATATTAATATTTCCTAATTCATTGGGTTGCTGTGAGGATTAAATGAGAGAATGCACAGAAAGCTCTTTGGAAGCAGTCAACTCTAATAAGCCATTATTCTAATTGTAACCAAAAGCATCTGCTGCAACATGCAGTCAGGGTATGAAGACAGGGTGCAAGAAGGCAAAGGCATGATGAAAAAGAGCACGGGGACTCAGCCTTCCCAAGCCCAGCCTGGACACACCAACCATGATGTTTCCAAAGTCTTTATAGTTTGAGATAATTCTAAGAAACACAGCATGTGACACTTACCCTGTCAGCACCACCACAAAGTCCATCACGTTCCAACCATTCCTTAAGTAAGAGCCTTTATGGAAGGCAAACCCCAGGGCGATGATTTTAATGCCAGCCTCGAAACAAAAAATTCCAATGAAGTATGGTTCTGTATCATCCTGGAAGGGAGAGAAGGTACGGTCAAGATCTTTGGCTGGGTAGAGGGTGGCATGACTGGGGACCTGGCCCATCCAGAAATCTCTACCCATTTTTCCTCACCTCTCCAACCCTCCAGCACCCACTGCCCCCCAACGCATCCTTCCCGGACTTCTTTTGCCTGAAGACTTTGCAAGAGAAGCAGAAGCATGGAGAAGACACCCTCCTTCTTTCCTTTTGGCCAACCTCATATATCACTTGGTCAAACAGAATTGTTTGTTTGGATCCGTGGTGTCCACTATAGCAGCCACGGGTCACATGTGGCTATTTAACTGTAAATTAATTCAAATGAAATAAAATAAGAATTCAGCTTTTCAGACACAGTAGCCAACATTCCAGTGACTAGTATATTGGACAGTGCAGATGGAGAGCATTTCCATCATTAACAGAAAATTCTACTGGAAAGCACTGGTCCAGTATGTTTGTCACACGCACCACTCAAGGCCTTTAAGGTTAGACCCTGTACACCAACCTCACCCCCAGATCTGACACTCGTGAAGGTTCTCAGCTGATATGCACCAGCACAGCCATTCAGGTTGCTAAAATATTGGAGTAATACTTCTGCATTTGCTGGCAAATGGCCAGTGTCCCGGTCCCCAGCCCCTCACTGAACCACTTGCCAGTTTCTGGCTTCCAGCTGATAGTTTATAATATTTGAAATCAAGCTATGAGCTCCACTCCATCAGATCCCCTACATGGATGTTTTCCAATCTGTTACAAAGTTTCTCAAGCTTCAATCCTTTCTGCCTTCATGATTCTTTCCCTATCAGCTTGCCATGGTACTACTATTTGCTTCCTAGTTTTCCAGCTGACTCTCTTTACTTAGCTTCATTTTAAACAAAAATTTTTAAAAAGTCTTGAAATCATAAGTTTTATAGGTTAGTGATATGTTTTAGAATACCTGTTATAATTCATACCTCTTAAAATTTAGATGTCTTGAGAACCATCTATATTTTGTGGATTATGAACGAGTGGATTCTTACATGCCCCTCTACCTACCCTTGAGCTATTACAGCTGGATCTGAAAAGGTGACAGAAAGGAAAAAAAGTCTTCTTCATTGCACTGTCAGAATGCCAGGAGAGGAACCACGGCACTTGGGGATGGATAGGGGGATCAAGAAGGATCTTAGTGCTAGTTTACAGCTCTGCTGAGTTTCACCAAATGAGTAAATTTTTTTTTTAAGATTTTATTTATTTGTGAGAGAGAGAATGAGAGACAGAGAGCATGAGAGGGAGGAGGGTCAGAGGGAGAAGCAGACTCCCCGCTGAGCAGGGAGCCCAATGTGGGACTCGATCCCGGGACTCCAGGATCATGACCTAAGCCGAAGGCAGTTGCTCAACCAACTGAGCCACCCAGGCGCCCCCAAATGAGTAAATTTGAACGAGGACTATGAACGTCCCCCAGAGCTGATATCCATGACAGGAGACAGAGAGGATAGAAGAACAAGCCAAATGACACCATATACAAGCAACCAGGCTAACATCAGAATGTGGGACATACCTTAGGGTCATGGGACTGATTGATGCCATAAGTCAAGGGCAGGAACGAAAACAGTTGCTTTAGTTTAAAAGGCTTAAGCAGGGATGCCTGGGTGGCTCAGTCAGTTGGGCGTCTGCCTTCGGCTCAGGTCATGATCCTAGGGTCCTGGATCAAGACCCATGTTGGGCTCCCTGCTCAGCTGGGAGTCTGCTTCTCCCTTTGCCCCTCCTCCTGCCTGTGCTTGTGTACTCTCTCTCAAAAATAAATAAAATCTTTAAAAAAATAAAAGGTTTAAGTAGCATAGCAAAATCTAGACCCTGCCTGGATCCTGGTTTGACCAAACTGACTGAAAAATGCTTTTTCTGAGACAACCATGAAAATCTGATTCCTGACTAGGTCTTAGATGGTTCCAAGGAACTGCTGTAAGTTGTGCTGGGTGTAAAAATGTCACTGTGGTAATGGAAGAAAACGCCTATATTTTTTAGCAATGTAGACTTAAGTAAGTATATGGCAATGAACTGACAAGTTGTCTGGGATTTGCCTTCAACAATTTTGGCCAGGAAAGACAAACCAATGAAATGCAAGGGGCCAGAGGAAGCAAATAAGGCAAAGTCTTGACAACAGTTGAATCTGGGTGAGAGGTTCTTAGAGGGGTTCATTGTATTGTTCTCTCCATTTCCAATGTATAGTCAACACCTTCCACAAGAATTTTGTTTCTAATATGATGTTTCTATGGACAACGTGAACACTTGTTACCCACTGCCCTCCTGGTCAGCATTGGGTTTGCCTGGTCTGGTGGGGGGGGGTGAGTCATGAAGGCATCTCTCTCCCCAGATTATTGGTGTTCATGAAATTTAGGCTTCCCAGGTGGGGGGCTCATGATCCAGCTCTTGGCTCCAAGACTGAGAGCCCACTCTGCCCTCTGCCCCATGGTCATGACAACTTGCCTCTAAAGCAAAGAGAGACCCCTCAAGAGAGACATCACTCACCAGTCGTTCAGACATTGGGGTCTTGTCATCGTCAGGTAGGTGTTGCTCCAGAGCAAGGACAATGCAGTTTGCTATGATGGTAGCTAAAATCATATATTCAAAGGGAGTATGGAGGAATTAAGGAAAATCTTTCCAGTTTGTTTAGGTTCACAGCAAAACCCAGCAGAAGGTAGAGAGATTCCCCATACACCACCTGCCCCCACACATGCACAACCCCCCCCCCAGTTATCAACATTCCCCATCAGAGTGGTGCATTTGTTAGAATCAATAAACTTACACTGACACATCATTATCACCCAAAGTCCAGAGCTTACATCACGGTTCACTCTTGGTGTTGAACTTTCGGAGGTCTGGACAAGTGTATAATGACTTGCATCCACCATGAGAATGTCCTATGGAGTAGTTTCACTGCTCTAAAGACCCAGCAGATGACTTTTTAAGGAAAATGTAGATGTTATTCTTCCATCTCACCTCCAACATTCATAGAGCAGATATTAATTCAGCACCTACTGGGCTCTAGGCCCTGTTCTGGGCACTGGGGACACAGCTTACAGTAAAAGAAACAAAAATCTCTGCTCTTGTGGAGGAGAAGTGAGTGTGTGAGATAACTACACATAAAGAGTGTTACGAGGTGGTGAATGCTATGCAGAGAAAAAGCAGGTTGGGTGTTGTAATGTATTTATTTATTTTTTTAAAGATTTTATTTATTTATTTGACAGAGAGACACAGCGATAGAGGGAACACAAGCAGGGGGAGTGGGAGAGGGAGAAGTAGGCTTCCCGCTGAGCAGGGAGCCCGACGCAGGGCTCGATCTCAGGACCTGGAGATCATGACCTGAGCCTAAGGCACACACTCAACGACTGAGCCACCCAGGTGCCCCTGGGTGTTGCAATTTAAAGTAGAGTCGTCAGGGGCTCCTGGGTAAGTTAAGCATCTGACTCTTGATTTCAGCTTAGGTCATGATCTCAGGGTCGTGAGATCAAGCCCCGCATCAGGCTCTGTGCTTAGCAGGGAGTCTGCTTGAGATTCTCTCTCTCCCTCTCTCTGCCCCTCCCCCTGCTCACATGCACTCTCTCTCTCTCAAATAATAAATAAGTAAATCTTTAAAAAAAATAGAGTGTTCAGATCTGACACCAAAAGCACGATCAGCTAAAGAAAAAACAGGCAAAAAAAGTAAAAAGTAAAAAGACAACCAACAGAATGAGAGAAAATATTTGCAAATCATGTATCTGATAAGCCTGGCATCCAGAATATATAAAGAACATTTGTCACTCAAGAACAAAAGGCAGTCCAATTAAATAATGGGCAAATGGCTTAAGTAGATATTTCTCCAAAAAAGATAATCAAATAGCCAATCAACTACATGCAAAAATTCTCAATATCCTCAGCCATTAGGGTACTGAAAATCAAAACCACAATGAGCTACCACTCCACATCCACTAGAATTAAAAACAAAAAAACAACCACCCAGAAAACAATAAGTGTTGACAAGGATGTGAGAAATTGGAACTTTTGTGCATTGCTGGTGGGAATGGTGCAGCCTCTGTGGAAAATAGTTTGGGATTCCTCAAAAAACCCACAGAATTACCATATGATCCAGCAATATATATCCTAGGTATACACCCCAGAGAACTGAAAAGCAGGTACCAAAACACATGTTCATAGCAGCACCATTCAAACAGCCAAAAGGTGGAAGCAAGCCAGATGTCTCTCAGTGGATGAATGGATGGACAAAATGTGGTCTATCCAGACAACGGAATCATCCTCGGCCATAAAAACGAAGTACTAATACACGCCACAGTGTGGAGGAACCTCAAAAACATTATGCTGAGTGAAAGACGCCAGACATAAAAGGCCACACACTGTACAATTCTGTGTATGTAAAATGTCCGGAACAGGCAAATCCAGAGAGTCAGAAAGCAGATGGGTGGTTGCCAAGGGCCGGGGGAGGGGGTTGGGGAGTGACTGCTTAATGTTTTGGAACTAGATAGATAATGTACAACAAACACTCTGAATATACTAAATGCCACTGATTAGTCACTTAAAAATGGTTAATATTGTTATGTGAATTTCACCTCAATAAAAAAAAAATAATATGCTGGTCAGGGCAAAGCCTCTGAGAAGCTGAGCTTTCAAGATCTACAGAGGGGGGCGCCTGGGTGGCTCAGTTGGTTAAGCGACTGCCTTCAGCTCAGGTCATGATCCCAGGGTCCTGGAATCGAGTCCCGCATCGGGCTCCCTGCTCTGCGGGGAGCCTGCTTCTCCCTCTCCCACTCCCCCTGCTTGTGTTCCCTCTCTCGCTCTGTCTCTCTCTGTCAAATAAATAAATAAAATCTTTAAAAAAAAAAAAAAGATCTACAGAGGGAAGGGTTAGTCTGTGTGGCTATTTCCAGAGGTGGCATTCCCTCTCTCTCCAGGCACAAACTCCTTCCTGCATCCTGGGAACATTCCTCCAGGTGGACAAGGCCGCCAGGGTGTCCTGCTGGAGGGTCTGCACTTGGGGAGGGTCTGTCCTGCTCACATTACATTAGGGCCTGATCTGCTGATCAGCTGGTGAAACAGAATGTCCCCTGTCCCCCTGCCAGACCCACAGAGGCACCGCCCAGTCAATTTGGGTGTAGAGAAGTGGGTGTCGGAAGGGAAAGCCACAGGGTACTGGTTAGTCTGGAGTAGAGCTCCCCCACCTCGGCACGTCTGACACTTGGGGCTGGGTCATTCTCTGTGGTGGGGGTGATGAGCAGTAGCAGCTCCTCCTCTCCAGTTAGGACAACCAAAACTTACTGACAACCAAAACTGACCTCCAGGTATTGCCAAGTGTCCCCTGGAAACACTGGAATCCACTGTTCTGTGGAAGGATCAAAGAGCATGTCTTGGTGAACTTAGCCATGGCCTCCTCCCAGCTTTCTCCCTTGGAAGCCTAACTTGCCTTGTTCTGTCCTTTGGCCCTGGAGTTAGGTTTGGCCTTTTGGAAGCTCCATAAAACCAAGGGATCTTATAGGCTGGTGGAGTTGGAGCATATACTCACTTTCCAGGTGGGAAAAGAAAGTCTAGAATGGATAACCTGGGAGCAAGAGTTTAAGTAAATCAGGAAAACCAGGACTTCTTTGTCACTGGCTTCGGCCTTTGCCTCCAGCTGAAAGCGTCTGAGCCGCGCTCTGTGCACACTCTGAAAAGCAAATCTGACACTCAGGGCAATTTGGGGAGCCAACAAAAGCCGGCCCTGCCGACGAGTGCCTCTGATTGGCTTCCTGCCTCTGAGCTGACAGTCATTAGGAGCACAGAGAACAAAGCTGGGCTATGTTGCACAAATACTCCATTCTGCCTCACCCTGCAGCCCAGAAAATAAGAGACAATATTTGTATACAGAGAAGCAACGCCAAGCCCTTTCCTGGCCTCCCCTTGCCGAGGCTTCTGAAGCCACGATTTGAATCTGATGATTTTACTTCCCTTCCCTGCCAACTAGCTCCTTGCGCACTTCTGTATGGAGCTGCTGGTTCACTCCTGGGAGGGAAGGGGGTGTGTGGCCTCCTGTCCCTAAACAGCTGGGATGTGCCTTCCTCTCCATCAGACTTGAGCTGAGGTTCCAGGAAGAGTCCCAAAAGACTGGCAGCAAGCAGCACTTTTATGGGTTGCATTATCAGGGTTTCAATTGCCCAGTGTTCCCTGGATTTCAGGCCCAGAGCTCTCCGGGTAGAGCGATGAAGCCTTAGCATGGGAGAGAACGGAAAGAGGCTGCCCACTCCTATCTTATTGCTTTTTCTTGTCAAACATGGCAATACTGGCTATCAAATATTAACCCTTCTCCCTCCATGCACACACGGACCCTGCTAATGTCCACAGACCTGCCCCCCATGGGAATCTGCAACATTGACCTCATACCCTTGCTACCGAATGGGCCGCAGCAGAGCGTCAGCTGCGTCTTTTAGAAATGCAAAGTCTCAGGCCCCCACGCTGACCTGCTGAGTCAGAATCTGCATTTTAGCAAGATCTTCAGGGGATCTGTGTGCACAGTGAAGTTTGCCTTAGATCTATTTCAGGGGTAGGAGGAGACCAGGTAATTATGGCTTTGAGTCATCTCAAGAGTGGTGGGGGCTCCGCTTTCTCCTCCACATTCTGACCCCAGGAGGAGACTTCAGGAGTTCCTGACCAGTCTTCTGGCCCCATGAAGGCAAGGGGGCTGGTAAGAAACCCAAGATCTTGATGAAATAAGAGCAAATTGGCAGGAGACAAATATGCAGAAAAGAAAATTCCAGCTTAACTGACATGGAAGGAGTCACAGCCTTCCATGACTTCCATGTCACTTAGGAGAAAAGCCAGTCTTCTTGGCAGCCAGTAAGACCCAGCATGACCTGCCCTCATCACCTCCCTGCTCTCATGACCTCCATCTCCCCATGTTCCTTCAGCGGCAGCCACACTGGCCTCCTCCACGTTCCCCAAACTCCAGGCACTTCCCACACCAGGGCCTTTGTACCTGCTGTTCTCTCTCCTGGAATATTTTCCCCACAGACCCACATGGTTCCCTCCCTCACTCCCTTTAGGTCTTTACTCAAAGGTCACATCCCCAGGGAAGCCTTTGCCCCCTTCCCCTGCTTATTTTTTTCCTTGGCCCCTGTCCCCGGTCAAACATCTACTCTATTTTCCTTCTTTATCTTGTTCACTGTTTGTCTCCCCTGCTGGAATGTAAGCTCTATGCAAGTAGGAATTTTTATCTACTTTGTTCACTGCTTTGTTCTCTGCACCTAAGAGAGCATCTGTTTTTATAGTAGGTGCTCAATAAACACCTGTATGAGGAAGGAAAGGTGGGTGGGTCCTGGTTTTTGCATCCTCTCCCCCCACTCTGTTGCATGCCAAGTCTCGGTGGGCATGTTAAGAACACAATCAGCTTCTTGAAATATGCATTGATGTGGCCAGCACACAGACACAAAGATGGGGTACTGGGTTCTTGGCATGGGAGAAGATGCCTCATCCCAGGCAGAAGTCAAAGGTAGTCCAGGCAGGGGGAGGTGACGCTTTCTCAGCCCAACCCTGAGTCGTGCCTGTTCCTCCCAATTTAGAAAGCCTGGGTTCTAACTCACAGCTGCGGTGAGCAATGCCTCTGCTA